ACTAGAAATTTTCTCCTCTTTAAACCTTTCCAAATTCTGTCTCTTTAGGTCAAAGCAATGGCCTTTCACCACAAAGAAACAGTAGAGATACACAAGAAACAAAAAGGGTTCTCGGGGCCATACTACACTGCAACAATACTTGCTGCAATAGGAAAAACCAAATACTTGGTTAGATACGAGACACGTTTTGCTGAAGACAGAACAAGATTGTTAACTGAAGCTGTTGATGAAGCGGATGTTAGGCCTCTGCCACCCACGAATTTGGAGGTGTCAGACAATATTGTTGATGCTTATGTTAATGATGGATGGTGGGTGGGAAGAATTGTAAGAAAAGTTGATCCAAATTATTATGTAAAGTTGGAGAGTAGTGGTAATGTGGTGCATTGTCCTTTTTATAAAGTCAGGATTCATCTTGAATGGGAAGATGGAAAGTGGGTTTATCCTGGAAATAGGTATCTTCTTCTTCTTCCTTTTGATTTCTTGGTTCCTTGCTTTGTTTGTTTTGCTCCTGGTTTTGGCATTTGGGATGTTTTCAGCAGAGAGGTTCCTTCTTCTGACTTTTGAGTCTTGACTTGCATCTTTCTTGGTTGATTGGAAATAGTTGTTTAGGTTTTTATTTTATTATATTTTCTTCTCTTTAGTAAAGATTCTTTCTTGCTTTTCACATTCTTTATCATTTTCAATAAGAAGATAAAAAAATTGTAATTACTTTCTTCCTGAGGAAGACGTCTGCTTCCTCAAATTGTAAAATCTGACCCCAACCGAACTCAGAGTGGTTTTCACGCGTTAGATTAAACAACATGCCAAGTAAACTTAATTACTGAAACCTTACGTTTTGGCTTAGAAATTTCCACTTGTAGCTTCCGCGAAACTGAGTCGATTTTTCCTAATGAAACATGTGAATACACAAAACATATTCCTTAAAAAAAATAAACTAATAAAAAACCCACAAAATCAACAACTTGATAGACTTTGAAATGACTTGTTGGAACGGAGAGATTACGTACTCGATTGGACTTTCAACACATTGATTATCCAACACAGTTATTGTGGAATTAAGTTTGTGTGTCGTTTATCATATAATTTTGCATTAGAAGACCTATTTTGCTCCTTTATTTTCCTTCGTTAATGTGTCATTTTGAATGTCAACTCCTTAGTTTCATCGCTCTGTGTTTAGTCAATCATATGGTTACTTCTTTCTAGTTTGTTATATAATATTATTAATCTGTTTGGTAGGCCTGAAACTGGTGATGATCAAGCAAGTTCCAGCGAGCACGGCAGTTAGTTTTCTCTTCTAATACCTGGAAACATTGGCAAAATAGCAACACTTTAACCATATGGGATATTATATGGGCTTCTTTTGTTCTTGTAGAGCTCAGTCCATAACAGCAATCTGACAATCATTAATTAAATAGATCCTTGAGAGATGATATGCCACACTTGTTCTTGAAAATTATATGTATACCGAATGGAATTTATACTGTTTGTCTTGCTGGTTTGTCTCGCTTCTCCTTGTGAAAACTTAAATTGATCAATATGATAAATTTAAAGAAGATACTAGTTACATTATTTAACCATTTGACAATATAATTCAACTTAACAAGCTGCCTTCACATTCACAGAGTAATTTGTCTTTCTCATGTGCACTTGATCTATCGGCTGATACTAATTGAAATATGAAAGTCAATTTAATTGTTATCTAGATGATCAATATTCGTTCCTCTAGGTCTAGTCGTTTCACTAAAATTGCATTCTTTTCAGTATTCAACAATGCTTATAACTACAATGAACAATTTGCTTTGAAATGCAAGATTTTGTTCATACATTAGATCAAATACTGTCACAAGCCTTTTCCTTCTTTTCTTTTCCAAAATTTAACTTCATTTGGAAGTAACATAAAACTAATTTAAGACTTTTCAAGTTGTTTCGTTACTTAAGGCATCACTGACTTGGGTTTTTAAAAACGAGTAAACGACTTTTTCTCACCCAATAATGGTTTAATGATATTTTCTCACCTACAAAATTTTAAAATACCAGTTTATTATCCAAATTTATATTTCGTTTCCGATTCTGGCATCGTAATAACCTTACACCACCACTATTCTCTTTCACAATTATCACTTACCAAAACCCCTCAAACACTACACTCTTCGACCCCACCAATCGCCTACAATTGAGCGATTAGGGTTTGCGCAGCCGTTCCTCTCAAGTCAAATTTCGATCATTCCAACCAACAAAATCCAACCTTATCAAAAGACTCATCGATCTCTTCTCTTCAAAACCGAGTTTACTCTTTGTTCATGACTGAAGTATAAATTTGAATAATAAAATAGTATTTTAAAAACCTATAACTGAGAAAGTGTTATTAAACCAGTATTTGAGTGGGAAAAGGTCGTTAACTCTTTTAATAACACATGATTCTTGTTGCAGAATAATCGTATATTGAACAGTCTGTGGCATATCCATTTGTCCAAACTTTTAAACTTCTTATTTTGACCAATCTGTGGGAGATATTGCTTAACGCATCTAGAACCCAGCTTAATTGAGACATTTCCATCCAATTGGTTACTTACTAAGCTTTATCCACAGACTACAATAGCCGTGCTTCCAGTTTTTCCCATTTGCTAAAAGCAAGAGAACAAATCAAATTCCTCTTGTCTTCCTTGTTCAAGTTCCAGACAGCATTTAATTTTTTAGGCTGCCTAACCAAACTGCTAGAAATGAAGAATATTCATATAACTTTGGATGACTGAAGAGAAACATAGAATAAATCTCCTTACTCTGAAAGGATAACACTAATTCTTGTGTTGTACATACAACTACTTATCTTCTGTATTCAATTTTTTATTTTCTCCAGAAACCGTCCATTGATAATACAAATTTAATTAATATAATATATATATCTTTCATTCACTGATCAGGGAAAGAATATGATCCGTCACAGCATCTCTAAAAATCATCGAAATGAGATGTGGGGATTTTGAAAGCCTGACTTTATAAATAAATAAACTGGCCCACTTCTCGAAGAACCATCAAATCATAGTATATGGTTCTTGTGCTTCATGCTCAAAATCTGTGTGTAATTATCATCAAAGTTAAGCTTAGGAGCTACTGAATAACACGCATGGTGTTTCTATTTTTAATCTACTTCATCATGCTAGCTCCACTCCAGCCTTGTATCAATATGATCGATGAAGATGATCATATTCGATCAAGTCAAAGAACGCCTACCTACCGTTCAGATTAATTGATTTTGGTGATGGCGAATTTCACATGAATCCTGATGATCACCAAGCAATACCAATACACAATCTCTCTTAATTAACATCTNAACAATTTGCTTTGAAATGCAAGATTTTGTTCATACATTAGATCAACTACTGTCACAAGCCTTTTCCTTCTTTTCTTTTCCAAAATTTAACTTCATTTGGAAGTAACATAAAACTAATTTGAGACTTTTGAAGTTGTTTCGTTAATTAAGGCATTACTGACTTGGGTTTTTAATAACGAGTAAACGAACTTTTTCCCACCCAATAATGGTTTAATGATATTTTCCCACCCACAAAATTTTAAAATACCAGTTTATTATCCAAATTTATATTTCGTTTTTGATTTTGACATCGTAACGACCCTACACCACCACTATTCTCCTCCACAATTATCACTCACAAAAACCCCTCAAACACTACACTCTTCGACCCCACCAATCACATACAATTGAGTGATTAAGGTTTACACAGCTGTCTCTCCTAAGTCAAATTTCGATCATTCCAACCATCAAAATCCAACTTTATCAAAAGACTCATCAACCTCCCCTCTTTAAAACTGAGTTTGCTCTTTGTTCATGACTGAAATAAAAATTTTAATAGTAAAATAGTATTTTAAAAGTCTATAGATGAGAAAGTGTTATTAAACCAGTATTTGAGTGTGAAAAGTTCGTTAACTCTTTTAATAACACATGATTCTTGTTGCAGAATAATCGTATATTGAACAGTCTGTGGCATATCCATTTGTCCAAACTTTTAATCTTCTTATTTTGACCAATCTGTGGGAGATATTGCTTAACGCATCTAGAACCCAGCTTAATTGAGACATTTCCATCCAATTGGTTACTTACTAAGCTTTATCCACAGACTTCAATAGCCGTGCTTCCAGTTTTTCCCATTTGCTAAAAGCAAGAGAACAAATCAAATTCCTCTTGTCTTCCTTGTTCAAGTTCCAGACAGCATTTAATTTTTTAGGCTGCCTAACCAAACTGCTAGAAATGAAGAATATTCATATAACTTTGGATGACTGAAGAGAAACATAGAATAAATCTCCTTACTCTGAAAGGATAACACTAATTCTTGTGTTGTACATACAACTACTTATCTTCTGTATTCAATTTTTTATTTTCTCCAGAAACCGTCCATTGATAATACAAATTTAATTAATATAATATATATATCCTTCATTCACTGATCAGGGAAAGAATATGATCCGTCACAGCATCTCTAAAAATCATCGAAATGAGATGTGGGGATTTTGAAAGCCTGAGTTTATAAATAAATAAACTGGCCCACTTCTCGAAGAACCATCAAATCATAGTATATGGTTCTTGTGCTTTATGCTTTTGGATCAAAATCTGTGTGTAATTATCATCAAAGTTAAGCTTAGGAGCTACTGTATAACACGCATGGTGTTTCTATTTTTAATCTACTTCATCATGCTAGCTCCACTCCAGCCTTGTATCAAAATGATCGATGAAGATGATCATATTCGATCAAGTCAAAGAACGCCTACCTACCGTTCAGATTAATTGATTTTGGTGATGGCGAATTTCACATGAATCCTGATGATCACCAAGCAATACCAATACACAATCTCTCTTAATTAACATCTATAGATATGAAAAATCATTGATCTTCACGTTGCATTCTATACGGAATCTATATATTATATGTATATCACCTAATTATTGATTGTGATGTTGTCTTGTCACATATAATTAGAGGGAAAAATATATAAATAGTCACATTAGAAGACTAATAAATCAAAACCAGCCTGTATATACACCACTTGCACTAATTGTACAATTTTCTTTTAATTTATCTGAACAGCATAACCCCCCAAAAAAAAAATATTAAAATAAAAATCAATAAGGTTGACCACCTGAGTTGCTCCGTCGCCGTTTCACCGGAAATACATGCCGAAAATCCCCATGAGCTGCTACGTGCCACTCTTCCACCACCACCCCATCCAACTCAAGCTGGTGCACCTCACCCGAACCATCAAACAAACACCCTTCAGGGAAACCGGCAAGCCCACCACGACCAGGTGGTTTGGTTTTCCGGCGGCCTGCACCTACGGGGACATTCCGGAGAGCCCCACCGGCAGTCCAGTATCTCTGGCAGCCCTTGCAGAAATGTCTAGGCTGGTTAACATTGTAATTATTGAAATAACAAAACTTGGTCTCCATGCTCTTGCATCTCGGGCAAGGTATGATTTTGTCAGGTCTTTTAACCTCAGCCTCAGCATCGTTGTTTTCTTGTTTGACTTGTTGTTGACCATGCAACGTAATTGTAGTTCCAAAGAGCTTGATGCCTTGTTCATGGTTGGCCATGATGAAGAAAGAGAGAGAGAGAGAGAGAGAGAGAGAGAGAGAAGAGGGAGGGAGGGAGGGAGGAAGAGAGAGAAAGAGAGAGAGATTATGGTTATAGAGAGATATAGATAGGATTTGGGTATATATATAGAAAGAAAGAAAAGTAAAAGTGAAGAGGAAAGGGAGAGAGGAGAGGGTGAGCCGCCAAGATTAAGGTAGCTGGCGTGGAAAAGCTGATGAAGGGCTTTTTGTCCGTCGTCATCAACATGTAAGGTTTAAAAAGTCTAGAATGGGACCCGATCCAGGCAAGTCTCGTACAAAGTGGGAGCATAAAGACTTAAAGATTAAAGAGATAAAGTTGTTGTTGTTCTAATGAAAGAGATAAAGTTGAAGCCTTAAGGTTTTGCTTTGAAAAGTTGTCTCTTTTTCTTCCATTTTCTTATGGATTATATTGCCAACTCATTGCTTTCACTGTAAATCAACATTCTCTACTAAGATCAGTATCTAAATTTTGTAAAGATTTTATAAAGGGCAAACCAAAGAGAATGTAAATGAGTAAAACCCACAGTCCTAAATTCGATTCTTTCTACTGGACACAAAAGTAATACCTTGGCACATGATTTACCTGAGGGATCATGGCGGTAGATTGCTTTAGGATAGCTCTCCCTGGGGATTAGGAGACAAAAGTAATACATTTGTCTATGATTTACCTAGAGGCCATGGTGGGTTGTTGTGAGGTAGCTCCTCCGGACGATTAAGGCGCAAAAGTAGTACATTTATCCATGATTTATCTTGAGGGCATAGTGGGTTGCCGTGGGATAACTCTCCCTAAAAATTAGTTGAAATACGTGTCAATGAGCTCTGACACCTTAATTATTAAAAAATAATTTTATAAATGGACTTTTTTAGTATATATATAATTGAATATTATATTTAAGAAATGAGAAATATTTTTTTATTATAAAAAAAGGGAGAAGAAAATAAAGTCATGGTAACTAACAATGGGTTGGCCAAGGGGTTTGCTCCCCTTGTGGTCTCAAGTTTGAATCACAAGGACAGTTGTTAATATTGTTGGCCACGGATTGCAAGGCTTGTCCTGTTTTGAAAGCCTTAGTTGTGGTCGGAGGACTAGTCCAGGTGTGCGTAAGTTAGCCCGGACACCCCGATAATAGAAGAAAAATTAAATAATAATAATAATAAAAAAAAAATAAAGTCATGGTTAGATATTGGAAAAAAACATAGTTTGAAGAATCAAATTCTATTGCAACTGACTTGGAAATTTATGGCTAATGGTTGGTATATTTATTGTTAGTTTGAAATATGATGAATTAAAGATGCCATATGTTTAGCATAAACATATTATATATGCAACCCACTTTTAAATTAATTTTTTAAGTCTATAACATTACGTATCTGGTTTTCATTGCTCAAATTCTGAGACTCATTGCCGGCGCCCATTTATTAATTCATTCCTATCTACTAATTAAGAGTAAAACTATATGGAAATTGTTAATTAAGATCATAAACAATGACATTTCCTCTTATTAACTGGACTTTGTTGTTAATTATCTGATTTTTCTAACATATATTTGACTCGTAAAAGGTAGAATAATTTTCCCATTTTCTAGATCTAATTAATTCCATTTTGAGTGCCTTTAGTTGACTACCCAATTAATTTGTAATCACACATTAAGACATCTCTTCTCTATGCCTACCTAGTTAATATTTTTTCCTTTTTCGTATTTTAAAAGTTTGACAGTGAGGATCCATCGAGAAACATATATAAATTATCAGAATTACTTTAAATTGGGGTTTTTTCTTTTATTCTTTTTTTTAATTTGCCCAATCAGATTCCACCAGTGACCGACCTTGCTTCCTACCAGGTGATGCATCAAATCCATTTAATATTTATCAACTTTATTCACTTTATAAAAGGCAAAAGTACTTTCTGGGTCATCTCCTAATTTATAACATAACCCCTCTAAATAATTAAATTATAAGTATATTATTATTCCTTTTCCAAATTATTTCTTAATAATTTTCAAGTTTATATTTTAATTTCTATGTCTAAAATACTAAATTAATATATAATTTATATATTGTTAATTAAAGTTTGATGGTGATTGAATTAAATATGTTTTGAAAGTTTCAATGAATTTGATGCATGATAAGTAGTTTTCATGAGATAAAACATTAATTAAAAGTTGATTAGTGTTGGCGTAGCTATCACTTATCAGTTGGAATTGGGGTGGAAAAGTAGTATGATATTAAATTAATATTAATATAAATATCCGTTCTTTAATAAAGGAATCAGAATTGATTAATGCAAAAGTAGCCTCAATTCCAACACCCTTTCTAATTATATAATGTAGACAAAGAAGAATTTTGGTTATCTTTTTTTCTTCAAAAGAGTGCACTTTTTCTTTACGATGCTTTAGAAACTCTCTTTTCAATTTAATTAACATAAAGAATATTTGAAAGCAATACACATAGTCATTTGCATGGGTGGTTCCCCCCCTTTTTTTTTTTTTTTTCTTTAATTATATTTATATGTGGAGCTCCCCATCTTAACTTTTTATTGCATGCAAGAATAGAGAATATAATTATCTCTGATTGGTCGAGTGGTTTGATAAGGACTTTTAGGTGTATTACTCAAGAGATTCTAAAGTTGAGCCCCTCTTCGATTGCTAATAGGAGTAACCGCTAGAGCTCTTACCCAGTTAATAGTTTAGGGTCTCATCCCTCCTCGGTTGCTAATAGGGATAGCCACTGTCGGTCAGTAATTCTAGGGTCTCGTCCCTCCTTAGTTGTTAATAAGGGTAGTCACTGGAGCTCTTACTCAACCGATAGTTCAAAGGTCCTGTCCCTCCTCGATTGCTAGTAGAGATAGCCATTGGAGCTCTTATCCAACTAGTAGTTCTAGGGTCCCAAGATATTAAGCGTAGTTATTGGAGCTCTTATTCGATTAATAGTTTCAAGGTCCAGGAAGATTAATTGAGGTAAGTGTAAACTAACCTAGACACCCTCAATCATCCAAAATATATATATATATATATATATAGAGAGAGAGAGAGAGAGAGAATACAATCCAGATCTGATCTGATTTATGATTATCCAAGAAGCATATTTAGGTAAGCTACATCTATACTTCAAATTTTGTAAAGAGCTAGATGCAAACCCACTTTAATTTATACCATAACAACTCATAATTTATCAAATTTATTCATAATACTCCACGCTCAATACTTGCTGCAATAGGAAAAACCAAATACTTGGTTAGATACGAGACACGTTTGCTGAAGACAGAACAAGATTGTTAACTGAAGCTGTTGATGAGCGGATGTTAGGCCTCGCCACCCACGAATTTGGAGGTGTCAGACAATATTGTTGATGCTATGTAATGATGGATGGTGGGTGGGAAGAATTGTAAGAAAAGTTGATCCAAATTATTATGTAAAGTGGAGAGTAGTGGTAATGTGGTGCATTGTCCTTTTATAAAGTCAGGATTCATCTTGAATGGGAAGATGGAAGTGGGTTTATCCGGAAATAGGTATCTTCTTCTTCTTCCTTTTGATTCTTGGTTCCTTGCTTGTTGTTTTGCTCCTGGTTTTGGCATTTGGGATGTTTTCAGCAGAGAGGTTCCTTTCTGACTTTTGAGTCTGACTTGCATCTTTCTTGGTTGACTGGAAATAGTTGTTAGGTTTTTATTTTATTATATTTTCTTCTCTTTAGTAAAGATTCTTTCTAGTCTTCACATTCTGTGTCATTTTCAATAAGAAGATAAAAAAATTGTAATTACTTTCTTCCTGAGGAAGAGTCTGCTTCCTCAAATGTAAAATCTGACCCCAACCGAACTCAGAGTGGTTTTCACGCGTTAGATTAAACAACATGCCAAGTAAATCAATTACTGAACACTTACGTTTTGGCTTAGAAATTTCCACTTGTAGCTTCCGCGAAACTGAGTCGATTTTTCCTAATGAAACATGTGAATACACAAAACATATTCCTTAAAAAAAAAAACTAATAAAAAACCCACAAACAACAACTTGATAGAACTTTGAAATGACTTGTTGGAACGGAGAGATTACGTACTCGATTGGACTTTCAACACATTGATTATCCAACACAGTTATTGTGGAATTAAGTTTGTGTGTCGTTTATCATATAATTTTGCATTAGAAGACCTATTCTGCTCCTTTATTTTCCTTCGTTAATGTGTCATTTTGAATGAACTCCTTAGTTTCATCGCTCTGTGTTTAGCCAATCATATGGTTACTTCTTTCTAGTTTGTTATATAATATTATTAATCTGTTTGGTAGGCCTGAAACTGGTGATGATCAAGCAAGTTCCAGCGAGCACGGCAGTTAGTTTTCTCTTCTAATACCTGGAAACATTGGCAAAATAGCAACACTTTAACCATATGGGATATTATATGGGCTTCTTTTGTTCTTGTAGAGCTCAGTCCAAACGCAATCTGACAATCATTAATTAAATAGATCCTTGAGAGATGATATGCCACACTTGTTCTTGAAATATATGTATACCGAATGGAATTTATACTGTTTGTCTTGCTGGTTTGTCTCGCTTCTCCTTGTGAAAACTTAATTGATCAATATGATAAATTTAAAGAAGATACTAGTCATTATTTAACCATTTGACAATATAATTCAACTTAACAAGCTGCCTTCAATTCACAGAGTAATTTGTCTTTCTCATGTGCACTTGATCTATCGGCTGATACTAACTGAAATATGAAAGTCAATTAATTGTTATCTAGATGATCAATATTCGTTCCTCTAGGTCTAGTCGTTTCACTAAAATTGCGTTCTTTTCAGTATTCAACAATGCTTATAACTGCAATGAACAATTTGCTTTGAAATGAAGATTTTGTCATACATAGATCAACTACTGTCACCAGCCTTTTCCTTCTTTTCTTTTCCAAATTTAACTTCATTTGGAAGTAACATAAAACTAATTTGAGACTTTTAAGTTGTTTCGTTAATTAGGCATACTGACTTGGGTTTTTAATAACGAGTAAACGAACTTTTTCCCACCCAATAAGGTTTAATGATATTTTCCACCCACAAAATTTTAAAATACCAGTTTATTATCCAAATTTATATTTCGTTTTGTGACATCGTAACGACCTAACCACCACTATTCTCTCCACAATTATCACTCAAAAACCCTCAACATACACTCTTCGACCCCACCAATCATACAATTGAGTGATTAGGTTTACACAGCTGTCTCTCCTAAGTCAAATTTCGATCATTCCAACCACAAAATCCAACTTTTCAAAAGACTCATCAACCTCCCCTCTTTAAACTGAGTTTGCTCTGTTCATGACTAAATAAATTTTAATAGTAAATAGTATTTTAAAATCTCTTTGAGAAAGTGTTATTAAACCAGTATTTGGTGGAAAAGTCGTTAACTCTTTTAATAACACATGATTCTTGTTGCAGAATAATATTATATGAACAGTTGTGGCATATCCATTTGTCCAAACTTTAACTTCTTATTTTGACCAATCTGTGGGAGATATTGCTAACGCATCTAGACCCAGCTTAATTGAGACATTTCCATCCAATTGGTTACTTACTAAGCTTTATCCACAGACTACAATAGCCGTGCTTCCAGTTTTCCCATTTGCTAAAAGCAAGAGAACAAATCAAATTCCTCTTGTCTTCCTTGTTCAAGTTCCAGACAGCATTAATTTTTTAGCTGCCTAACCAAACTGGTAGAAATAAGAATATCATATACCATAGCTATTTTGGTTAACTTTGGAGACTGAAGAGAAACATAGAATAAATCTCCTTACTCTGAAAGGATAACACTAATTCTTGTGTTGTACATACAACTACTTATTCTGTATTCAATTTTTTATTTTCTCGAAACCGTCCATTGATAATACAAATTTAATTAATAATATATATATCTTCATTCACTGATCAGGGAAGAATATGATCCGTCACAGCATCTCTAAAAATCATCGAAATGAGATGTGGGGATTTTGAAAGCCTGATTTAAAATAAATAAACTGGCCCACTTCTCGAAGAACCATCAAATCATAGTATATGGTTCTGTGCTTTAGCTTTGATCAAAATCTGTGTGTAATTATCATCAAAGTTAAGCTAGGAGCTACTGATAAACACGCATGTGTTTCCATTTTTAATCTACTTCATCATGCAGCTCCACTCCAGCCTGTATCAAAATGATCGATGAAGAGATCCTATTCGATCAAGTCAAAGAACGCCTACCACCGTTCAGATTAATTGATTTGGTGATGGCGAATTTCACATAATCCTGATGATCACCAAGAATACCAATACACAATCTCTTAATTAACATCTATAGATATGAAAATCATTGATCTTCACGTTGCATCTATACGGAATCTATATATTATATGTATATCACCTAATTATTGATTGTGATGTTGTCTTGTCACATATAATCAGAGGGAAAAATATATAAATAGTCACATTAGAAGATAATAAATCAAAACCAGCCTGTATATCAACCACTTGCGCTAATTGTACAATTTCTTTTAATTTATTGAACAGCAAACCCCCCAAAAAAAAATATTAAAATAAAAATCAATAAGGTTGACCACCTGAGTTGCTCCGTCGCCGTTTCAACGAGAATACATGCCGAAATCCCCATGAGCGCTACGTGCACTCTTCCACCAACACCCCATCCAACTCAAGCTGGTGCACCTCACCCGAACCATCAACAAACACCTTCAGGGAAACCGGCAAGCCCACCACGACCAGGTGGTTTGGTTTTCCGGCGGCCTGCACCTAGGGGACATTCCGGAGAGCCCCACGGCAGTCCAGTATCTCTGGCAGCCCTTGCAGAAATGCTAGGCTGGTTAACATTGTAATTATGAAATAACAAAACTTGGTCTCCATGCTTTGCATCTCGGGCAAGGTATGATTTTGTCAGGTCTTTTAACCTCAGCCTCAGCCTCGTTGTTTTCTTGTTTGACTTGTTGTTGACCATGCAACGTAATTGTAGTCCCAAGAGCTTGATGCCTTTCATGGTTGGCCATGATGAGAAGAGAGAGAGAGAGAGAGAGAGAGAGAGAGAGAGAGGGAGGGAGGAGGGAAGAAGGAGAAAGAGAGAGAGATTATGGTATAGGAGATATAGATAGAGTTGGGTATATATATAGAAAGAAGAAAAAGTAAAAGTGAAGAGGAAAGGGAGAGAGGAGAGGGTGAGCCGCAAGATTAAGGTAGCTGGCGTGGAAAAGCTGATGAAGGGCTTTTTGTCCGTCGTCATCAACATGTAAGGTTTAAAAGTCTAGAATGGGACCCGATCCAGGCAAGTCTCGTACAAAGTGGGAGCATAAAGACTTAAAGATTAAAGAGATAAAGTGGTTGTTCTAATGAAAGAGATAAAGTTAAGCCTTAAGGTTTTGCTTTGAAAAGTTGTCTCTTTTTCTTCCATTTTCTTATGGATTATATTGCCAACTCATTGCTTTCACTGTAAATCAACATTCTCTACTAAGTCAGTATCTAAATTTTGTAAAGATTTATAAAGGGCAAACCAAAGGATGTAATGAGTAAAACCCACAGTCCTAAATTCGATTCTTTCTACTGGACACAAAAGTAATACCTTGGCCATGATTTACCTAGAGGGATCATGGCGGTAGATTGCTTTAGGATAGCTCTCCCTGGGGATTAGGAGACAAAAGTAATACATTTGTCTATGTTTACCTAGAGGCCATGGTGGGTTTTTTGTAATTTTAAATTATTAATATTTGATTTTGATGTACATTCAAATTATATGAATTCAAATTCAATTACAATAGATATAAGTTTATTAACGTAATTGAATTTACAGTAAATATAAGTTTATAACTTTAAGTCATGTTAAAAAAAAAATAAAAACCTGGAAAAAAAAAAAAAGTGCAAAGTGGAGTGTCCGAATTGGGCCAAAAAGGCAGCCCATAACTTATGGGCCATAAGTGGAGTGTGTGAATTGGGCCGACAAGGCAGCCCATCATTAATTTTATTAACCAGTTTAAAAACAGGTTAACCGGTTAACTGAACCGAATTTTCGGTTCGGTTTATAACCGGTTTCGGTTCAGTTTATTTTTAAAACCGAAAACCGGTTCGGTTAACCGGATTTTTCCACCCCTAATGGACGACAACAATGACAGTGTTTCTTAGAGGGGTCGTTTAGTTAGCGGTAATGGAAGATTACGCCGATAATCTATCTAAAAAATAGGATATTACCGTGTTTGGTTTTAGGTAATCAAAGATTCCGGTAATCTTTCAATTTTAATAGTGTTTACTGTAGGCTATATCGGGGGTAATCTAATTGGCGAGTGAAAGAATGTTATTTTAAGATTATCGAGGTAATCCATTTTTTATTCCCATTTTACCCCTAGTTAATTAACAATTCGACACAAATTTCCTCGTATGTCTGTCAAATAACAATTAGTCCTATTGTGCAAAATGACTTCTGTAACCCCCTATATTTGAGAATTTGTTAAAACAACCCAACCACAATAAAAGTTTAAAATTTAACAAAATACCCCAACCACCCAAGACCATTGTCGACTGCTGCTGACAGTCGTTGGAACAGTGCATGACCGACCGGATCTAGCCAGTCGTGTGCTAATCTGGTCGGTTGTGTGTCGATCTAGCCGTTTTCGGCAAGATTCGGCCGATCGTGTGTTGTTCTGGCTACTACCGATGGCGGTCAACGATGGTGGCCGACGGCCGATAGTGGTCCTGGGTGGTTGGGAGTATTTTGTTAAATTTTAATTTTTTATTGTGGCTATGGTGTTGCCAAATTATCAAATGTTAGGGGGTTAAAAGTAATAATCTAAATAATAATATTTAAAAAAAAAAAAAAAAAAGGTGATTAGAAAAAGCGTCTCCTATAATTCTTTTATTCCCCTTAACCAGACATATATAATATAACATTTCCTTTAATCTTCAAGATAATCTAACTCTTTGATAATCTTATATATCCTTTTAATAATACAATATTCTCTTGACCAAGCTCAAAGACTATTAAGGCCAATTTTGTCTTCTTCTTGAAGAAACCTCCCTTTGAGTGTGAAATTGTCTACAAAGAGAGTGGAGTCTTTCCCAATGACCCAAGTCAATAACATCAATCATATAACAACATCCTTTTGTCACGTGAATAAAGGATTATTTTTTATTGTTTTGTTGCTACCTGCTAGCAATTACAATTTGTCAAGGACAACACGTGAATAAAAAGTTTTGATCAATTATTTTGTTTTTGTTCATATTCCAGATTTGATCATATTATTTAAGTGCAAAGTTTATGAATAAGTTTTTATTTAAACTCTCGTAAATAATAAAACGAGGCAGTTCAGTGTTTTAACTTATATAGGCTTATAGTTTGAACCAGTTATCTATTTCTACTTTGAAATGAGAAAATCGGGCTTGTATCATGTTTGGGTAGTATTTCAGCCTAACTTTATTAACCTTCATTCCTTTTTATTATCTAACGTGTTTTATAGTCACAGAAAATTCAACTCATGTTCAATCCCAACTTTACCTATTAATCCATGCTCTAAGTTTAAGTCCTGTGTGTAGGTTCATGAATCACTCCGAAATTGAAAGCAACCATTCAACTTCCTTTCAAATTAGGGAAGGGAACATTTGTCTCTATATTGTATAGATTTGTCTCCCTCATTAGTTTTTTCATATTTTTGTGTGGATCTCTAGTTCTCTATGTGCCTACCTCAATCTCCTTTTTAATATATAGTTTTATTCTTTCCGGTTAAAAAAAAAAAAAAGAAAAAAAAAAAAAAGGAAAGGATTAAGCATTAAAACTTTGCAGATGTTCCATTAAGGAAACATAAGACCACAGGAGCTGTTTATTTAGGAGGTTAAATTTTTACCTATTGAATTTACTATGTGAAAAAATAAATAATTCAGTCAAATTAAAATACAAGGTCAATGTGTCATTATTCAAACGGCTAATATAAATCCCGAGGAAGAGTTAAAGTCCTGTAAGGCTTCAAATATAAACGGCCTATTAATTGTTTCTCAAGTTCAACCTATTTGCTCCCACTCCCATGAGAAAAACAAGAAACTAGAAATTTTCTCCTCTTTAAACCTTTCCAAATTCTGTCTCTTTAGGTCAAAGCAATGGCCTTTCACCACAAAGAAACAGTAGAGATACACAAGAAACAAAAAGGGTTCTCGGGGCCATACTACACTGCAACAATACTTGCTGCAATAGGAAAAACCAAATACTTGGTTAGATACGAGACACGTTTTGCTGAAGACAGAACAAGATTGTTAACTGAAGCTGTTGATGAAGCGGATGTTAGGCCTCTGCCACCCACGAATTTGGAGGTGTCAGACAATATTGTTGATGCTTATGTTAATGATGGATGGTGGGTGGGAAGAATTGTAAGAAAAGTTGATCCAAATTATTATGTAAAGTTGGAGAGTAGTGGTAATGTGGTGCATTGTCCTTTTTATAAAGTCAGGATTCATCTTGAATGGGAAGATGGAAAGTGGGTTTATCCTGGAAATAGGTATCTTCTTCTTCTTCCTTTTGATTTCTTGGTTCCTTGCTTTGTTTGTTTTGCTCCTGGTTTTGGCATTTGGGATGTTTTCAGCAGAGAGGTTCCTTCTTCTGACTTTTGAGTCTTGACTTGCATCTTTCTTGGTTGATTGGAAATAGTTGTTTAGGTTTTTATTTTATTATATTTTCTTCTCTTTAGTAAAGATTCTTTCTTGCTTTTCACATTCTTTATCATTTTCAATAAGAAGATAAAAAAATTGTAATTACTTTCTTCCTGAGGAAGACGTCTGCTTCCTCAAATTGTAAAATCTGACCCCAACCGAACTCAGAGTGGTTTTCACGCGTTAGATTAAACAACATGCCAAGTAAACTTAATTACTGAAACCTTACGTTTTGGCTTAGAAATTTCCACTTGTAGCTTCCGCGAAACTGAGTCGATTTTTCCTAATGAAACATGTGAATACACAAAACATATTCCTTAAAAAAAATAAACTAATAAAAAACCCACAAAATCAACAACTTGATAGACTTTGAAATGACTTGTTGGAACGGAGAGATTACGTACTCGATTGGACTTTCAACACATTGATTATCCAACACAGTTATTGTGGAATTAAGTTTGTGTGTCGTTTATCATATAATTTTGCATTAGAAGACCTATTTTGCTCCTTTATTTTCCTTCGTTAATGTGTCATTTTGAATGTCAACTCCTTAGTTTCATCGCTCTGTGTTTAGTCAATCATATGGTTACTTCTTTCTAGTTTGTTATATAATATTATTAATCTGTTTGGTAGGCCTGAAACTGGTGATGATCAAGCAAGTTCCAGCGAGCACGGCAGTTAGTTTTCTCTTCTAATACCTGGAAACATTGGCAAAATAGCAACACTTTAACCATATGGGATATTATATGGGCTTCTTTTGTTCTTGTAGAGCTCAGTCCATAACAGCAATCTGACAATCATTAATTAAATAGATCCTTGAGAGATGATATGCCACACTTGTTCTTGAAAATTATATGTATACCGAATGGAATTTATACTGTTTGTCTTGCTGGTTTGTCTCGCTTCTCCTTGTGAAAACTTAAATTGATCAATATGATAAATTTAAAGAAGATACTAGTTACATTATTTAACCATTTGACAATATAATTCAACTTAACAAGCTGCCTTCAGATTCACAGAGTAATTTGTCTTTCTCATGTGCACTTGATCTATCGGCTGATACTAACTGAAATATGAAAGTCAATTTAATTGTTATCTAGATGATCAATATTCGTTCCTCTAGGTCTAGTCGTTTCACTAAAATTGCGTTCTTTTCAGTATTCAACAATGCTTATAACTGCAATGAACAATTTGCTTTGAAATGCAAGATTTTGTTCATACATTAGATCAACTACTGTCACAAGCCTTTTCCTTCTTTTCTTTTCCAAAGTTTAACTTCATTTGGAAGTAACATAAAACTAATTTGAGACTTTTGAAGTTGTTTCGTTAATTAAGGCATTACTGACTTGGGTTTTTAATAACGAGTAAACGAACTTTTTCCCACCCAATAATGGTTTAATGATATTTTCCCACCCACAAAATTTTAAAATACCAGTTTATTATCCAAATTTATATTTCGTTTTTGATTTTGACATCGTAACGACCCTACACCACCACTATTCTCCTCCACAATTATCACTCACAAAAACCCCTCAAACACTACACTCTTCGACCCCACCAATCACATACAATTGAGTGATTAAGGTTTACACAGCTGTCTCTCCTAAGTCAAATTTCGATCATTCCAACCATCAAAATCCAACTTTATCAAAAGACTCATCAACCTCCCCTCTTTAAAACTGAGTTTGCTCTTTGTTCATGACTGAAATAAAAATTTTAATAGTAAAATAGTATTTTAAAAGTCTATAGATGAGAAAGTGTTATTAAACCAGTATTTGAGTGTGAAAAGTTCGTTAACTCTTTTAATAACACATGATTCTTGTTGCAGAATAATCGTATATTGAACAGTCTGTGGCATATCCATTTGTCCAAACTTTTAAACTTCTTATTTTGACCAATCTGTGGTAATATTCTTTAAACCAATCTCTTAAAACCCACTTAATTGAGACATTTCCATCCAATTGGTTACTTACTAAGCTTTATCCACAGACTACAATAGCCGTGCTTCCAGTTTTTCCCATTTGCTAAAGCAAGAGAACAAAATCAATTCCTCTTGTCTTCCTTGTTCAAGTTCCAGACAGCATTTAATTTAATTTAGACTTGCCTAACCAAACTGGTAAATTAAGAATATTCATATAGCCATTAGCTTCATTTTGGTTTTAACTTTGGATGACTGAGAGAACATAGAAAAATCTCCTACTCTGAAAGGATAACACTAATTCTTGTGTTGTACATACAACTACTTATCTTCTGTATTCAATTTTTTATTTTCTCCAGAAACCGTCCATTGATAATACAAATTTAATTATATAATATTATATCTTCATTCACTGATCAGGGAAAGATATGATCCGTCACGCATCTCTAAAAATCATCGAAATGAGATGTGGGATTTTGAAAGCCTGAGTTTATAAATAAAAACTGGCCCACTTCTCGAAGAACCATCAAATCATAGTATATGGTTCTTGTGCTTTATGCTTTTGGATCAAAATCTGTGTGTAATTATCATCAAAGTTAAGCTTAGGAGCTACTGTATACCCGCATGGTGTTTCCATTTTTACTTACTTCATCATGCGACTCCACTCCAGCCTTGTATCAAAATGATCGATGAAGATGATCATATTCGATCAAGTCAAAGAACGCCTACCACCGTTCGATTAATTTATTTGGTGATGGCGAATTTCACATGAATCCTGTGATCCCAAGCAATACCAATACCCAATCTCTCTTAATTAACATCTATAGATGAAAAATCATTGTCTTCACGTTGCATTCTATACGGAATCTATATATTATAGTATATTCACCTAATTATTGATTGTGATGTTGTCTTGTCACATATAATCAGAGGGAAAAATATATATTGTCACACTAGAAGACTAATAAATCAAAACCAGCCTGTATTACACCACTTGCGCTAATTGTACAATTTTCTTTAATTTATCTACAGCATAACCCCCAAAAAAAAAATATTAAAATAAAAATCAATAAGGTTGACCACCTGGTTGCTCCGCGCCGTTTCAACCGGAAATACTGCCGAAAATCCCATGAGCTGCTACTGCCATCTTCCACCACACCACCCATCCACTCAAGCTGGTCACCTCACCCGAACCATCAAAACAACACCCTTCAGGGAAACCGCAAGCCCACCACGACCAGGTGGTTTGGTTTTCCGGCGCCTGCACCTACGGGACATTCCGGAGAGCCACCACCGGCAGTCCAGTATCCTGGCAGCCCTTGCAGAGTCAGGTGGTTAACTTGTAATTATTGAAATAACAAAACTTGGTCTCCATGCTCTTGCTCTCGGGCAAGGTATGATTTTGGTCGTCTTTTAACCTCAGCCTACAATCGTGTTTTTTGTTTGACTTGTTGGTTGACATGCAACGTATTTGTAGTTCCAAAGAGCTTGATGCCTTGTTCATGGTTGGCCATGATGAAGAAGAGAGAGAGAGAGAGAGAGAGAGAGAGAGAGAGAAGAGAGGAGGAGGGGAGGAAGAGAGAGAAAGAGGAGAAAGTGGTTATAGAGAGATATAGATAGGATTTGGTATATATATAGAAGAAAGAAAAGTAAGTGAAGAGGAAGGGAAGAGAGAGGGTAGCCGCCAAGATTAAGGTAGGCGGCGTGGAAAGCTATGAAGGGCTTTTTGTCCGTCGTCATCAACATGTAAGGTTTAAAAAGTCTAGAATGGACCCGATCCAGGCAGTCTCAGACAAATTGGGAGTAAAGACTTAAGATTGGAGATACGTAGTTGTTCTATGAAGAAGAATAAGTTGAAGCCTTAAGGTTTTGCTTTGAAAGTTGTCTCTTTTTTCTCCATTTTCTTATGGTTATATTGCCAACTCATTGCTTTCACTGTAAATCAACATTCTCTACTAAATCGTCTCTAAATTTTGTAAAGATTTTAAAGGGCAAACCAAAGGAATGTAAATGAGTAAAACCCACAGTCACTACGGACACAAAGGAATACCTTGGCACATGATTACCTGAGGGATCATGGCGGTAGATTGCTTTAGATAGCTCTCCCTGGGGATTAGGAGACAAAGTATACATTTGTCTATGATTTACCTAAGGCCATGGTGGGTTGTTGTGAGGTGTCCTCCGGACGATTAAAGGGCGCAAAGTAGTACATTTATCCATGATTTTATCTTGAGGGCAATGTGGGTGCCGTGGGTAACTCTCCCTAAAAATTAGTTGAAATACGTGTTAATGATCTCTGACACCTTAATTATTAAAATAATTTATAATGTGAACTTTTTTAGTATATAATAATGATATTAATATTAAGAAATGAGAAATTTTTTATTATAAAAAAGGGAGAAGAAAATAAAGTCTGGTAACTAACAATGGGTTGGCCAAGGGGTTTGCTCCCTTTGGTCTCAAAGTTTTGAATCACAAGGACAGTTGTTAATATGTTGTCCACGGATTGCAAACTTGTCCTGTTTTGAAAGCCTTAGTTGTGGTCGGAGGACTAGTCCGGTGTGCGTAATTAGCCCGGACACCCCGACATAAAGAAAAATTAAATAATATATAATAAAAAAAAAATAAAGTCATGGTTAGATATGGAAAAAACATAGTTTGAAGATCAAATTCTATTGCAACTGACTTGAAATTTAGGCTAATGGTTGGTATATTAATTATTAGTTGAAATATGCTGAATTAAGATGCCATATGTTTAGCATAACCATATTATATATTGCAACCCACTTTTAAATTATTTTTTAAGTCTATAACATTAGTATCTGGTTTTCATTGCTCAAATTCTGAGACCATTGCCGCGCCCATTTATTAATTCATTCCTATCTACTATAAAGAGTAAAACTATATGGAAAGTGTTAATTAAGATCATAAACATGACATGTCCCTCTTATTAACTGACTTTGTTGTTAATCATCTGATTTTTCTAACATATATTACTCGTAAAAGTAGAATAATTTTCCCATTTTCTAGATCTAATTAATTCCATTTTGAGTGCCTTAGTTGACTACCCAATTAATTTGTAATCACCATTAAGACATCTCTTCTCTATGCCTACCTAGTTAATATTTTTTCCTTTTTCGTATTTTAAAAGTTACGTGAGGATCCATCGAGAACATATATGAATTATCAATTACTTTAAATTGGGTTTTTTTCTTTTATTCTTTTTTAATTTGCCCAATCAGATTCCACCAGTGGCCTACCTTGCTTCCTACCAGGTGTGCACAAATCCATTTATATTTATCAACTTTATTCACTTTATAAAAGGCAAAAGTACTTTCTGGGTCCATCTCCTAATTTATACCATAACCCCTCATAAATAATTAATTATAAGTATATTATTATTCCTTTTCCAATTATTTCTTAATAATTTTCAAGTTTATATTTAATTTCTATGTCTCAAAATCTACAATTATATATAATTTATATATTGTTAATTAAAGTTTGATGGTGATTGAATTAAATATGTTTGAAAGTTTCATGATTTGATGCATGATAAGTAGTTTTCATGAGATAAAACATTATTAAAAGTTGATTAGTGTTGGCGTAGCTATCACTTCCAGTTTGGATTGGGTGGAAAAGTAGTATGAATATAATAATATTAATATACAATATCCGTTCTTTAATAAAGGAATCAGAATTGATTATGCAAAAGTAGCCTCAATTCCAACACCCTTCTAATTATTAATTGTAGACAGAAGAATTTTGGTTATCTTTTTTTCTTCAAAAGAGTGCACTTTTTCTTTACGATGCTTTAGAAACTCTCTTTCATTAATTAACTAAAGAATATTTCAAGCAATCACATAGTCATTTGCATGGGTGGT